GTGGATTATGAGTTTGGCTGCTAACCACAAAGTAGTAGTTGTCTGAATCTGTCAAGTCCCTCTGCAGAAGAAAGATGAGGCTTTCTTTACCCATTAAGATTTCCAGTTTCAGACACTCTATATATGGTAGCTGTGAGTCAGAACTGACTTGGTGGCTCACAACCACCACCACCATGCTATATATAATGACTTACAACCCTATGGGAGTCCTGGTGTGGCGCTGTGGGTTAATGCACCAGACTGCAAAGCCATTTGAACTGCAAGGTTGGCAGTTCAATCTCACCAGCTGCTCGTCAGAAATCCTATACAGGGGTTGCTATGGGTCGGAACCAACTCAACATCATTCAACAGCAGCAATGTAGTAGTTACTCAAGAAATGTTTGCTTAATTTAAGGTTTGTCTGCTTTTCCTTTTCTTTCTTTCTTTCATTTAAAAAACAACAACAGGTTACCCAATTTGTGAGCAGTTAACTTGTGGCAATGGAGCCTGCTATAACACAAGTCAGAAGTGTGACGGGAAAGTTGACTGCAGGGACAACTCTGATGAAACTAACTGCAGTAAGTAACATGCATGAGATGTGCAGCGGTGTTGCTGGAGTTGGTTCATACTGCCTGAGAGCCCAAATTACATGCATTTCTTCCCATAATGATGAGAGAACTTAAACCATGCAAGTGGGCAAGCACTATAAACTAGGATTTCTTTGTTCTTGGAGAACGAGTTGCTAAACATTTATCAGATTATAATAAAAATGTCTGTTTTAAACTTGAGGTAAACCCTATTTGGTTTGACTGGACAGTGGAATTGAAATTCTCTCTCTTTTTTCCCTTCTTAACTTTGTGCCCTAGCTCACGTGTGTGACCACTCCGAATTTCAGTGCAACAATGGAGAGTGTGTTCCTCGTGCCTTTGTCTGCGACCACAACGATGACTGTGGAGACAGCAGTGATGAACATTCTTGTAGTACGGTGCTTTCTTTATCTTGGGTTGTTGTTAGGAGTGTTTTTTTTTAAAAATGTGTTTTATTTTGAAACCACTCTACCACTCTTCATTTAAAGGCTTTGGCAAAAGTCTTAGCAGCATTGCTGGACCTGAGCAATTTTATCTTTAAGGATCTGTGTAGAGTTGAAGGGCTGGTGATAGACAGTTTGCATTCCTTAGACTACAAAGGTACAAGGTAAATCATATCACTGGTCTCTCCAGCCTTAGGAATGAGTCTGATAATCTTAACTGTCAAGTGAGAGAAGGGCTTGAAAGGAGAGAGAGGAAGATCCTAGTAGCAGTGATTCTACGTCTCCTCTTTGCTTTGAAATTCTCACCATATTAGTGTCAGGAAAGTTTTAAGAGGGCACCTTGTGGTGCAGGCAATTTTTGTTGTCTTCTTGTTGACGCAGATCCTGCTTTTCCTGCAATGCGAACCACTTCTCTCTTAACTGTTTCCATTTCAGAATCCATTTTATTGCGAAGTGTAAAGTTAGAGGACTCCATGAGAGAGTTTTACCAGTTCCAAAAAGTTGACTCTTTGTAGTCATTTATTTACTAGAATGTGTGACTCCTCTCCCCACCCCCCACCCCCCGCCCCTTGCACCTATTTTCATTAGTTTGGTGGCCATGCCTTAGCCAAACCCACAGTCTTCAAGTTGATTCTGACTCATAGTCACCCGATAGGACAGAGTAAGAACTACTCCTTAGGGTTTCTGAGGAGCAGACAGTCTCATGTGTTTACCATGACATGACAGATGGCTTTGTGGTTAGCACTTCAATGCTTAAGACATCAAGTCACCAGGGCTCCTTGCCCATGCTTTAGCGGATTGTTAAATATTTTGAATAGTATCTCAATTTCAAATGTGCCATGCCTGATTTTCTGTCACCTGGGCTTATTTTAGTTAACTGTATTAAAGAGAAGGAGAGGTGGAATTTCTGACTGAGAATTATTTGGTCCTAGATAGCAGTTGGAGTCCTGGTGTGGTGCTGTGGGCTGCAAAGTTGGTTTGAACCTCAGGTCAGCGATTTAAACTCACCAGCTGCTCCTTAGAAACCCTATACAGGGTCGCTATGGGTTGGAACTGACTCAACAGTATTTAACAACAACAACAGCACTTAGAGTGCTTGTGGTAAAGCAAAAAAAAAAAAAAAAAAATGTTGCACACTGGTCTATATGTGTAGCATCTGTAGTGTCTCTGTTCTGTGTCAACCTATAGTGAACTGTCTTGTTTTTTATCTTGACAAAAGAAACTGGAACCTGAATTGATGCTCTGAACCTGAAGCTGCTTTTCTTTCGCCTACTTTCTCTCCTCTTGTTTCTATGTCCCACCCAGCCATTTTGGTCCAGATAATTAAATTATGTGGACATTTCAGTGTATAGATTCATTACAGACAGTGAGGTGAGCCATTTGACTTTTCCAAGTGATTTATGTCTCTAGAGTGAAGTCGTGTTTTCTTCCAGCCTATGAGGCCTGCAGAAGCCACCAGTTCACGTGTCCAAATGGCAAATGCATCAGTCAAGATTGGGTTTGTGATGGAGAAGACGATTGCAAAGATAATGGAGATGAAGATGGATGTGGTAAATGTTTTCAGAACTTGTTTATCCACCTTTCCTTGTCAGATATTTTTTAATGCAGAAAAGACAGCCTTAGGGTTGAGTGGTGTTTAGGAAGTGGTTTAGGGACTTGGTGCATGGGGAAGCTGGAGGTTGCTGCCTCCTGAAAGAGTGAAACAAATCATTCCATTTTGCCATGTCTTAGAATTTCAGTAAAAGGCTAGTGGTGGAGTTAGTTTATTATAAAAGATAGCTCATTTGTAGATTTCTGTTGTTCGTTTAGTCCATTCCATACCTGTCTTAACTACCTTTAATGGCCTGTGACAATTTTTCCTTAGAAAGCAGTGATAACTATCAACGTAAATGCTACCCTAGAGAATGGGCTTGTCCAGAGTCTGGTCTGTGTATCCCAATTGAAAAACTGTGTGATGGAATGCCAGATTGCCCCGCAGGAGAAGATGAAAGCAATATTACTGCAGGGAGATCTTGTGGTATGTATGGGAATTTATCCTGGTAGTCACCAGATAAAGATATTTCTGCTTTTATATAACAGATCCCCCAATTCAGGGTGTATCAGCATAAGGTAGTGGTTTAAAACTACAAACATCACTGATTTCCCCCAGTTCCATGGGTTGGCTAGGTCATTCTGGACTGGACTAGCTCATTGACATGTTCGGATGTTATCTGGAATGATGGACATGTGTTTTATAACCCAGCCATGTAACGCAGGCTTCTTTACATGGTGGTAGAGGAGCAAGCCCCAGTATATAAGCTCTTTCCAAGCTTCTCCTTATGTTATGTGTTCGAATGGCTTATTGGCCAAGTAAGTCATTTGGGCAAGCTCGGATTAAATGAACTGGAGAAAAATAAACATGAGCTCTTGATGGGAGGAAGGACTCCTGGTGGGTGCTGTAGGATAAGCGCTTAACTGCTAACCACAAGGCTGGGCGGTTCAAACTCATCAGCTACTCCTTAGAAACCCTATATAGGGTAGCTATGAGTCAGCACTGACTCCATGACAATTAGCAACAACAAAGATGTTCTGGAGACTTTCCTTCTTGCCTTATATTTGTGGAAATAATGTCTTTTCTGCTGTACTTACAAACAGCTCATGGAAAACAAATTTAAGTGATAATAGAATTCTCCCATGAACTTTTTAAAGGGTCCCCCCACCCCCACCCACCCATGTGATTGAAGTGAATTGGCTCTGCACAGTTCTGTTAGTTGATGTCTTGTGTCACTGCATTCATTCATGAGTAAATTGCTATCTGTCTCTTCCATCAATGCTGTGGACAGCATTACATTTATAACTCTCATGTACTCTCTAACTAAATTATCTAGTGCTTGCCTTTTCCTGAAAAAACTTATACTATTTAAATATGCAGAGATTCCTAAATAAAAAATTTCCATTTAATTTTGGAGTCTTTTTCAAGAAGCTTGGTAGCATAGTGGTTACGAGGTGGGTTGCTAAGACAAGGCCAGAAGTTAAAGTCTACCTTAACTCTGACGGAGAACGATGAGGCTTTCTGCTCCTGGAAAGATTTAAATTAGCCTTAGAAACTCTACACAGGGTTGCTATGAGTTGGAACCAGCTCAATTGCACACCACCACCACCATCACCACCACTAAGGATTATATAAAAGGTACATATAGTCATAGTGCAAAAGTTAGAAAATCACCTAAAATTTCAGCACTCAAAAGTTAGCTCTAGTTATCATTTTAGTGTACTAGGTGGGATTCAAAGGAACTCTAGTAGCGTAGTGATTACGAGTTGGGCTGATAACCTCAAGGTTAGCAGTTTGAAACTACCAGTTCTATAGGAGAAAGATGAGGCATTCTGCTCCCGTACGATTTACAGCCCCGGAAACCCTGTATAGGGTTACTATGAGTCATAATTAACTCCATAACCACCTCCACCGGGGGGCTTCAAAAAGTTCATGGAAAACGGGATGAGAAGATGTTCTCAATCTTCACTTGGATGTTCTTTCTCTCTCCTACAATGTAGATGTAAAAGTAGACTTAATAGTCATAACCATTAGAAACAAGCTGAGCTTTAATTGCATAATGTTGTAGTAAGACTTGAATGTTGACAGATCTTGTTACATCCTTACTTAACTTTATGGGAAAGAGAAGCTATTACTGTGTAGTTGTCTAGAGCTATCCATTCATTAAACAAGTGTTTTTGTCTATTTAGATGTGTCTTTGTGTCCTGTCTTGAGCTGTCAGTACCAGTGTCACAGCTCGCCATCTGGAGGCGTGTGTTATTGTCCTCAAGGCTATATCATCAACAGCAATGATTCTCGTACCTGTGTTGGTAAGTGACAGATTGGAGCTCTTGGTCTTTTATAATGTATTTTATGATCTCTAATATCAGGGAGTTTGTTCTGTCATAGCAAAGAGCAAACAGGGTTTCCAGAAAACCTGGAACACATGAATACAAAAAGCTTTAACAACTCTTACAAACTTGCAAGGCACACAAGGCAAAACAGTGGTTCTGTGATGAGGGAGTTGATTAATCATAGAAAACTTACCCTAGTACCTGATGATGGTCCTTAGGACCAGGCTGGTTTTTAAATGCTTAAATTCCTTGATGTAGTTGCTTCTCCAAGCCCACCAAGCACTTCTGCTCTATTCCCCTTGCCTCTCCTCCAGAAAGCTCTAACCTCCCCAGGATTACCCAAGGATCACCAGGCTATTGCCCTAGTGACCATGCTGGCTTGTCAGTACCCATGAGGCTGTTAATTCCATTGATTTCTCCTTTAGTTTGAAACTGACATTCAATAAGAACAAACTCTTTATCATGATGCTTCCAAAAGGCTGCCAAGAGTGCACCAAATATTTCTCCACATTCCCTATCTGAATTATAAGAATGATTTATTCCACTGGAAGATTATGGATTCTGATGTGAACCAGCTCTGCATCCACATATGATTAGGATGGGATCTCAGAATGGAGAAGCACATGGCCAAGTATTGATTGAATGTTTATTTTTATTTATTTATTTATTTTAAAGTTTTTATTATGGATTGAGTGAAATTTTACAGGGCAGATCATTAGGTTTATATTCAACAAATCATACACCTTGTTTCCCCTTCATGTACCCTCAATTGACAGTATTTCTCTCTATCCACTTTAGTTTTAAAAAAAAAGCAACAAAAAACAACAACACTCAGGCATATATAATAATTTACACCTCCAAAGGGCACATTCTGCAAGGCTGCCTTCTGGCCACCAGCTCTTAGCCTCTCTCTTCCCATGAATCTGGAATCCTCAGCCGCTCCCCCTCTCTATGCCCCATTTCTGCCTCTGTCTCTGGCATCGCTGCTTCTCTGGATAAGGTCCTGTATTCTGCTTGTGCGCTTCTCCCTTGATGATCCTAGGGGCCTCTGTTTTTGGACTGTACGATTAACCACTCCCCTGTTGTTGTTGCAAAATTTCTACCTTTACAGTTGTGACGGTCGCAATTAGTAAAGATAGCAACTATTCGCTATTGAATCATAAGAATCTGATCCCTATCTCTTTTCACCAGGCCCATCTAGACAAGATGAAATCTATTCAGTGGGGACTCTTTCTTTCCCCCCATATTCTTAAACTAAACTCCCTCTTGAAACCTAGTAAGCCAGTCACTTTGTGCCTTTATCGCTCCCTCATTTTAGTTAACCAATGTCTAAGTTGCCAGTCCTTATCTACCCTGTGTACAGAGGAGATACCATTGACACTTGATGTGAAGATTCCTTGCCTCTCCCTTGGTATTTAGAGTTACTACCTCCATGAGTATAGGGTCAGGTTCATCAAATTGTAGCAAATTACCCTTGTTTCTTGTATCAAAAAAAAAAAATGTTTTTTTTTTTTTTAAATCTTCTGCTAGTCCAGTTCTGATTGAGTCATCAAGGCTAGGTCAAAAGGGTACTGTCTTCAAGTTTGGGTGTTTTTGTGCATCTCTCTTCATTTCCTATCAGCTGGATGCTTCACTCTCAGCTCTAGCCCTCTGTGGCTATGTCCTTGTCCATGGGCTCAAGTGTCCTCAGGTCTCACCACACTTTGGACCAACCAGCTCTTCTTATCTCTCTCATCTCCAACTCAACGAAAGTCAATGGACTGTGGTTGAACCCAGCCCATTTCTTCATTGCTGCCTTTCCCCGTCTTCCACTCACCAGTAGACTAATGTGGTCGCCAGCAAGCTTACATGCCTGTTTGTGTGTTCCCTTTGAGTTTCAGTCTTAGAGGGAAGTTTGTTCTGAAGGAACTTGATTGCTAGCCTTGATGTCTTCCTGGCAAACAGCGTGCTTATTCTTGTAGTAGCCAGTCATGCTGACATTTTTGTTTGGGGTTTTTCCTGATGATCTTTCTTTGAAGATGTATCTTCTGTCACTGTAGCTGTTCCAGGCTGGTCTGCTTGTTCTTACTAGTGGGAAAGTCCCACCTCTTAAGGTTCTGGATGGGACTCAGGATTTCACCTAAGGTCCTATAGTTTGTAAAGGATTTGCACGAGGTAAACCCCTTTTAGGGTTAGGGTTGTGGTTTCATGGGACAACCCAATCAGTTAGCCTAATATTGTTTTTAGAAGGTAGAATAAACACCTTAACCCTACAAACCAAGAAAGCAAATCCCATGCGGTATATAAATAGCATCAGCAGTTACCCTATTTTTTGGTTCTTGTAGTAACAACATACAACATATAACATTTACCCACTTCTTAGGTGTGCGTATTAGTGATAGCAACCATGCCCCTTAATCAATGCTAAAATTTCCATCACTGTAAACAAATTCATTGCCTTTTTATTTGGTGTTAGAAAAGGCACCTGAAAGGTAAGCATATATGTTGTTGTTGTCAAGTGCTGTCAATTGGTTGAACCACTGACCTTGTAGTTAGCAATTCAGTACTTATCCGACATCATCATCTATGAATCCCCAGATTATCAATAATTCATAAATTTCACAGAATATCTGTGTTCTTTTTTTTTCTTTATCTGTGTTCTTTTGATAATACTTAGAAATTTGAGAGTCTTGAGCTTAAAAAAAAAGAAAAACATGGCATGCATAAGAAAAACTTTTGCAGGGATATTTTTTCTAAAATCTAAAATGGCAAGATTATTTGGCAAAATATATTGAACTTGGATAAATGTAATGAATTCTCAGCTCATGATGTGTAACTTAATATGTCAAATACGGTTGATCTTAATAATTGTTTATAGTGTGTGGCACTGCGGGGTGTGGTTGAACCATAAAGTTGGCGGTTCAAGCTCACCAGCTGCTCCTTGGAAATACTATACAGAATTCCTATGACTCGACACTACTTAACAACAATAGCCCAAAAAAAAAAGTTAGCACCAGAAATAACCCAGTTTGCAAATAAAAATTGGAACTTTGGAAAAGCTATTCCTCAATATTATTGAGAACTATAAATTTGGGATCATGCCAAGAAAAACGAATGTTCAGACTCAGTCAAGAACCTACTTGAGGCAGGGTTTTGAACTGGTTTGAACAGATTCAATCATGGCAGATTCAACAAAATCTGAACAGACTTGAATTAATAAAATGTGGGTGTACTGGAACAAATAACTGGAATGTGGAAAATTATAGGCGGTTGGGAATGGGAGAATTATGTGGGAATAGGAGATTCAGAAGAGGCATAATGAGACCATTCAGGAGCCTGATGTGTGATATTGGATTATTGCCAGAACACTCAAAGTGACCGGTAGGCTGCCATCGTGGAGCCATGCAGTGTTGCTTCTGACTCTGTCAGTCAAGAGATTTGGTTGCTATGCAACGTGCACACTGGGTTTCAACTTGTAATTTTTCCTGTTCCACTTATTGTTCCAGTACAACCACACTACAAATTTGGGTCCGTTCCAGTTTCCCTTCCATCCTTGACAGATCTGGTTGGAAGATTTAAAATTTGAGGCTGTCCTTATAGTGTTCAAAGTAGGCAGTTTTAGGTTTTAATTGTCCAAATGTTTGCCCACTATGTGATTGCTTCTGTCCTTCTCTATAGTAACTGTATTTGACAAGACATGTTAAAATCAAGTGATTTATGCAAGTCAGACCCAGAGATCCTGGAAACTCAGAGAATGTTGAATTCTTAAAAAAATACTACCCATCCCCTTGAATTAGTTATTATTTCCAAGCATTTTATATTTAAAATATTATGATCTGCAAGTGGCATTAAATAAAATCATGTGACCCTTTTTTTGTGCTGTGATTTTTATTGCACCGGGAATGCTCTCAAGTAATTTGAAAACACTTTCAGAAGAACATCCTCATTTGTTAGGAGGATTTTCAATGTTGGCAACTCTGCCTATGTTTCCTGGCATCCCTGCTAGGGCCGTATCCCTTCTTTTTTCCCAAGTGGTGATCATCTGTGGGTATAAATCTGCTCCTTTGTCTTTGGCAAATGTCAGCCCCCGTACTCCCCTTTACTGCCAGCTAGCTGCCAATCCCATTTCCAGTCTTCTAGTTCTGTAGGCATTTCCCTTTTCTCTAGGTAGTAAAGGAATTCCAATAGAAATACCAGAAGACACATTCTCAGTATTACATCAGCTTTTCTCTTTTTTTCTCTCCTTACTCTCAAAGAGGAGTTGGAACGGAGCTGCCTTGCAGTTGGAACTTGATAGGCCATGAAATCTTTTCAGTAAAAGTGATTTGCTTTTTCAGAATTCCTAATTCAGTCTTGTGTTGCCCCACAAGTTGTTTTCAATTGTTTCCCTGTACCCGCCCCCCACCAAAGAGCATGTTTTTCAACATTATCTCTAATATCTAGATTTGTGATGAGCCTTGGGTGATGATATTTTCAAGTGGTGCTGTGGGTTAATGCAAGGTCGGTTCTTCAAGCTCACCAGCAGCTCCTCTGAAACCTTATAGGGAGGGTTTCTATGGGTTGGAACTGACTTGGTGGCACTTAAGAATAGGGCATTTTAGGGTCACTTCAATTTTTTATAGCCCTTAAGAAGTGAAAATCTGTCATGATAAGATTATTGAATTAATAAAATTTTACATTTAATCTATCAATGTAATATGGAAAATTTCATTATCGTGTTATGCACAAGATAATCTCATGATTTATAAAATTATCAGTTGCTAGCACACTGTGGCTAGTGTACACCATAATGGTGCACTACTTTTAAGCTGCAGAATGAAGATTTTCGTTCAATCTTATTAGAATACACTTGGGACTTCAGTACAGACAACCTAATTTGTAGATAAACCAAAGTCTCTGTTTGAGGGTCTTTGTGAATGTGAGGCTCATTGCCACCTGCAGAGACCTTTTCTGAGCTCTCCCTGGCCTCCAAGAGCGTGGCTTTTGCCCCTAGGTTTTGAAGTTGGGTTAACATTTATCCCACATTGATTTCAAAGGCTATATTTCACTCTCCTTGTAAAGAGAACTCGTTAGTTTAAATACATGACATTATGAAACTAGTTACACTTGTTTCAGCTGAGCTTTTCCTAGAATTGCTGTTTTGGTTTGCTCTCTCAAGCATTTCCAGTTAACAAATGCTCTCTGTCCTCCTGCCTGGCTGACTCATCACAGAGGCAGGATTCTGGTGTTGGAAACCTCTGCAGTGTTTATCAGCGGAGACACGGCTCCCCAGAGAATGCCTCAGTGGTGGTCAGGAATAAAGTTGAATAATCCTGACATAAAATCTTATGTCTTTCTACTATTCATCTGCCTCTGACAGTGTTGACCTGGTAGTGAAACCTTTGCAGCTTGCTGAAGCGGTTTCCCCCAGCTCATTGTTTCTGATTGACAGGACATGCTGTTTGTTGACAGAATGACATGGTGGTGCAGAGCAGGGCAGGAAGGTCTTTCAGCGTGGTGGGATTCCACACAGCCAAATGATCAGAGATGTCCAAAGGCTTTATGCTAAAAAGTCTTTTTTTTTTTTTTTGAGGGGAACTGTTTCCAAAGCAGTAATTGCTGGTAGGAGGGGACAAAGAATAAAGAGAAAAGGTGGTTTGTAAAGCAGTATTTATCTTCTTTTCCCTCCTGAAAACAATTCTACTTTGACATTTTCCTTGTTTTCACTTTAGTTAAGGGTGGGTATTAGATTTCATTTTTTCTCCTCAGTGATTTAAATGGTAGAATCTTAATTAGTCATTAAAAGTGGTAAAGATTTTATGTAAGCCTTAAGGAACTTAGAGCCTAGGTGGTAGAAAGTGCATTAGTACCCAAGAATTTCTAGTTTACAGCGCAGATTTCCTTCTGCTTGACATCAGCACTCCTGCTTCCAGGCTGACTCTGGACTCTGAGGCTTATTCTCCTGGGTCTTGCATTTAAAATGAGGTCATGTCATTCTGGGGGTTTGAGGACGAATGTCCTATACTTTCATTTCTACTGGGGCGAAGCCTCAGGTGGAGCTTTCTAAGGCTGAGGAGCTGGCACAGAAGAGACTGGTCATTGAGGGCTTTCTAGAACCACATGTCTGATCCAGTTTTTCTTTGGTAAGTCACAGTCCTTGGGAAGAAAGATATACTGGTCCATGTTGTTGTTATATTTGGTCTGAAGGGACAACTGGACCCATTAGCTTATTCCTAGAGTCTTCTTGGGTTTTCTAGTTGGAAGTCACCAGATGGAGGGCCACCTCAGCAGGTTTAGGAAACCCAATTCACAGCTCTGACATTTGTTGCAAATGTAGTTGGGACTTAGAAACCAGGAGAATTGTTGACTTGGAACTGGATGGTTTCAGAAGATAAAATTTATTTGACAATTTCCTGAAGCTAGAGGGAATTCTGTTGATACAGGCTATTGAGGTGAGCCTCTCAGGGTGAAGGAGGATGGAGAGCAGACGTGAACTTGAAGGGTCAAAACAGTATTCCCAAGAAAGACAGTACTATTCCTGTGCCCCTCAAACTCGATTTGTATTCTTTATATGTCAGCATATTTTTACACTGTGTAGCTGAGACTTCCATGGCAATGAGCACAGCTCTGTAATGTAACAATGAATTAGTAGAAGAGGACATTGTTCAGTCTTGGAAATTTAAATTGAATTTTGATTTATGATTTCTTGACCTTAGAGTCAAAACTAATTTGTTCTGTAAACTTTCACCCCAAACACAGGAAAACTTTTTTTTTTTAAAGGAAGCCTAATCCTTCTCTGGAGTCCTGGTGTGGCACTGTAGAGTAAGCACTGTACTGCTAATCACAAAGTAGTCAGTTGAAATCCACCAGCTCCTCCTTGGAAGCCCTACACAGGGTCACTATGTCTCAAAACAGATTTCCATGGTACTCAACAACAGCATCAACCCTCTTCTGGGGTTTTCCTCAGATGCTTGTTCTGAATTACTATTTTTTATTGTGTGTCTAGAATCTATGTTTACTATCTGACGGTGCTTATGTAGACATGGGCATCATCATATCACTGCACAGTTTGTCTAGGATTTTTGTCAACGGGAACACAAGAAATGCTGGTAAATATGATGACAAATGTTTATTTTCCATGTGGCAGATTTCGACGATTGTCAGATATGGGGGATTTGTGCCCAGATGTGTGAAGACCGCGTTGGCCATCACCAGTGCTACTGTGCAGAAGGATATGTCTTGGAGCATCAGCGGCACTGCAAAGCTAGTACTTCCTGTGAGTAAATCTTCTCCTTCCATGGGAAATAACGAAAGAAATGCCAGCAAGGTGTTTATCATTGCCAATCAAGAGTGACCCCTGGAGTCCAGTTGCTGTCAGTAAATGTGGGTCAATATTTATTTGATTATTAGGGACCAGTTTGTAGCTTAATGATGACCTTTATTCATATGCGTTTTATATATATATATAAATACACATGATGCTGGTTCACTATGGGCCTGCACTATTATGTTGTTTTGTCACCCACCCATTACACTTAATTACAGAATAAATTTTATGTCCATTTTCAACTGAATTGGTATTTTATTTAAAATTAAGATTAACCATCACAAATAGGTAACAAAATATCTATGAATATAAATTTGATAATTATTATTACCAATAAATTTGGTACCTTTAATATGGTTCAAAATGGATATGCTGAATTTGGATTAAAATGTGTGCAGTGCTATCATTATTGGAATTGACTTAAGGTTAATGGAATAGAGAAAAGAATGTATAAATATAGCTATGTATAACCCTGTTTTTGATTCCTGGTGTGGTGCTGTGGGTTAATGTGCTGGACTGCAAAGTCGGTTATGACAGCAGACAGAATGATAAGGTTAGCTGTTCAAGCTCATCAACTGCTTGGTAGAAACCCTATACAGGGTTACTGTGGGTTGGAACAGACATGATGGCGCTTAAAACAATAACAGCAACAATCCTATTTTTACACATGATGCTAAGTACAAAATGTTCCTCCTCATTTTTTTACAGTAGCAAAATATTCCATTTTATGACTATACATAATGTATTTAACTAGTCCCTGACTGATTGCAAGTAAGAATAATCTTATAATTATGTTACTTTGCATGCTTGTTTGGATTTGCCATATTTTTTGCAGAGTAATCTCTTGGTAATCCTTATTTGTGTCCTCTGTTTAACACATTTAAACTGCACATGGACATAAGGTGCCCATATGATCAATGATTCTTGCAAACACCTGATGTGTTTTTCTCAGTGTCATTGGAAGTGGATTGCTTGAGTCAGCCTCTGTTCCTAACTGTGATTTGGGACACTTTATTTTTGTACCTCAAATTGTTCATTTGTAAAATGGAGAACGTAATACCAGAGGTTTACTTTAAACTAAGGTAGCATTGAAGAAAGCATTTGGAAAGTATAAATCATAACAACGCTAAGTGAGTTCACCATTGAAGGGAGTACTAATGTGTTGTATCTTCATATTTAGCTGGTGAGGTCTCGATTATCTTCTCTGATGGTCAGGATTTGCTGATTGGTGATATTCATGGGAGGAGCTTCCAGATCCTGGTGAACTCTCAGCACCGTGGAGTGGCTGTGGGTGTGGATTTTCACTATGACCTGCACAAGGTCTTTTGGACAGACTACGTGGAAGATAAGGTAAATAGAAATTTCAGGAGCATATCTTGGGAGCTGAATAGAACCCTGAGCACCAGGTGTTGATGGCTTTTCTTTTTTGGGGAGTAGAGAGGAAAGTCCTTTGTTTTCTAACAAAAAAGGCCCTTGAGCCATTTTATGTTAATCAGCACCTTTTCCCTGCTATACTATTACATGTGACCTATTCAACAAAGCAGTCTATTATATGGATAAGCCTTGAGCAACTTTTAATTTTATTCGAAATGGAGTCCAAAAGTCTAATTAAAAGAAATAGTAGACATTCTTTCAAAACTGGATAGATATTTGGTAGTAATTTTTGAAACTTGATCTTTTAAAATGTAAAAAGTACTCTGCTTTCCTGGATGATAAAAATCAGATTTTACTTGCATCTTCTAAATGGAACTATAATTGAGGATTTTATAACATATTGACAGTATTTTGTTTAATGGCCAAAATTTCACTACACTGTCTTATTTGGAAAGCGTGAGGATTTAATTTCAACTCTTGAGTAATGCAGTGGAGATTTTTAAAACCTAAATTTGAGAGACTCCTAACATTATGGAATTTTATTTCTTCATGGCTCAGTATTCAACCATAAGTGTAGACAGATCCAGAAAGGGAACAATTCACACTAGTGAGGCACATCTTAGAATAATCAACCATTCTAATCAACAGCATTTATCCATGGGCAAAGTTCTGAAGGGTTGGAAAAGAAGAAGGCATTGGAAGCAGGAAACTGGTTGGTAGGAAGTGGGAGAAATGATTATGGGGATTGTAATCAATGAGATGAAACAAAATGTATATGCATTGTTGAACGGGAAACTTACCTGCTCTGTAAACATTCATTTAATTCACAATAACATATTAGAATAAATAAAACAAACACAACCAAAATGTGTGTGTGTGTCTCTAGGTTTAGGAATCCAGGCCTTGGAGTCAGAGAAAAAAGCCAGGTTCAAGGCTGTTTGACTTTGTGAAAGTTACTTAACTTGACTAAGACTCAGTCGAAAACCTGAGGACATTATTAATATTAAGTACTGATCTCATAGTCTAAGGAGATACGGCATGTCTTAATAGCAATAACTGAGTCCTGGTGTGGCTATGTAGGTTAAGCAATGGACTGCTAGTGTGGTCTGAACTACAAGGCTGGTGGTTCAAGCCCTCGGAAACCCTATAGAGGGTTGCTATGAGATGACATTTAGCAATGACAACCAACCTCAAGGTCAATAGCTCAAACCCACCAGCCACTCCTTGGAAGCCACACACAGGGTTGCTTTGAGTCAGATCAACAGCAACAACAGAAGCAACAACAACTACTGAATAAAGGAAATGCAGGCTTAAAATATTTTCCTTTGTGTATGTGTCAAAGGGAACGAATGCATACATTGAATGCAATGTAGGAATTAGTGTATGCAGTGAGTTATGCTTAAGAATGAAAATAATTTTGGTTTTTCTTTCAGGTTTTATCAATTGACATTAATAGTCTAGCTATCCAAGAAGTTCTCAATGTTTCTGTTGATGCTGCAGAGAATTTGGCTGTGGACTGGATCAATAATAAACTATATGTGGTGGAGACCAAGGTCAACCGCATAGATTTAGTAAATTTAGATGGAAGTGACCGGGTTACCCTTATTACTGAAAACTTGGGGCATCCAAGAGGAATTGCTGTGGATCCAACTATTGGGTAAGTGATGTGAATATGCATGGAACCCTCTCTTTTTGGAGTTTTATCTATACATCGAAAGGTGGTAGTGGTGGTAGTGTGCTGTGGAGTAGGTACTGACTCATAATGACCCTGCATAGGGTTTCCAGTTGTAAATCTTTATGGGAGCATAAAGCCTCATTGGTCTCCTGTGGAGTGTCTGGTAGCGTCGAACTGCTGACCTTGAGGTTAGCAGCCCAACTTGTAACCACTATGCTACCAGAGCTCCTTATACATTGAATAGCCACTGCGTTTGTTGTAGGTTAATTCTGATTTCATGTTCATTTTATATCTCTATTTATTGCTTTAAACGAGTTGACTAAATATAATTCCATTTAAGTATCAGTAACCAAGCCTACCTTAAAATAACATAATTTTGCTATAAAGAGGGAAAAGGAGGTTGGAACTTTTTGTCTTAGCACTTTCTCATTACTTGTTGCAGTTGAATGTCAGTGCTAAGATAAAAATTATTTAGTGTGAATCCATCCGAAAACATTGATAATGATTTAAATTTTCTTGATCTCTATGGTTTGGAACCCATAGTATTTGTACATTTTCCTCGGCTTAAAATGAGAAATGAAAGAAAGAACTAGAGAAGAGAGGTGAAGTTAAGAAGAATCAAGAATTTTTTTTAGGCTCTGTTGTTTTATACTTCATGGTTCTCTAATCATTTGTTAAGCAAGTCGGTTTCCAGTCAGTGACCCCTTAAAGGGTTTTGAAGGAGCGACTAGTGAGTTTGAACTGCCCACCTTATGGTTCAAATCCTGCAGCACCACACTAGGTCTCTAATCTTGGACAAAATATATTATCTATCCATTAATTCAAATGCACAATCTAAAAAAAAAACAAAAAAACCTCAGGTAAATGTGTAAAATGACACATCTTTTGTTTTTCTCTTATAGGTACTTATTTTTCTCAGATTGGGCAAGTCTTTCTGGGAACCCTACAGTGGAAAGAGCTTTCATGGATGGTACCGGCCGTAAAGAATTGGTAAAATCAAAGTTGGGATGGCCTGCTGGGATAACTCTGGATCTGGTATCAAAACGTGTATACTGGGTCGACTGCCGGTTTGATTACATTGAGACTGTAACTTATGATGGACTTCAAAGGTAAGGACTATTTTTCAAAAGCTTGATGGAGAGGGCGATTGAAAGGACCAGAATTGAGACTTTTTGGTTGACATTACAGTTAAATGATCTTTTGTTTTTATATTTCCATGAAGTGACTGGCTCTGAATAATATTGCCTAAAGCATTTGTTCTATGATTTTCCAGATGTTTGGTTGTTGTTGGTACCAGGTTGCGCAATAGTTGACTCCAACTCATAGCGACACTGTATAGAGTTTCTATAAATCTTTATAGGAGCAGAAAGCTACATCTTCCTTCCGACATCCTAGATGGAACACATAATTTTTGTTAAGTCCTTAATCCATCTGTTTCTGATCACTTTATTTATGTAAATTCTATACAGGGTTACTATGAATCAGAACTGACTCAATGGCATTTAACAACAACAACAACAAGATAATTTCTTACTTACTCTATTTTAAAGCAATATTTGAAGGTAGACTATAGCATATTTTTTTCTTCATCTTCTCAGTCTAACTAGAGCTAACTATTATAGATACTTTTCTTTTGATGTTTTTAAAAAGTTGATTATGCTGGTCTTTGCATTTTGGCCAAGAGAAACCACTCTTTGTGAATTCAGCAAATAGGTTCATCAGGTTAAAATTTTCCAAATGACCTGATGTTTTGTTTTTCTATGAAAGCAATATTATGGTTCAGTTTTCTCATATGTTTTGTAAGGTTGATATCACAGTTTTTCACTGGATTTTATATTCTCAGCCTAGTCTGTACTTGGTTAAATGACATGATTGGATATGAAGATTATATGATTTCCTGTCACTGAAACTGGCTCCCACAGTGAGAATTAATGAATTAATGAAAAAATACTATTCAACAATATGTTGTCTAAAAGTAATGGACCAATTGCCCAATTTTCTTTTTTGGTGGAGTGATTTGACATTACATTGTAGTCTAAATATTTTTATACTAAGGTTAAAGTAAAACATAAAACAGTGGAATTTTGGAAAGATTTAATGGTTTGGTAGTTGTGAACATCAAAGAGATATTAAAGCTTGTTGAATACGTATAAAATCATACAAAATTGCCTCTTGATCTGCTAACAGGTGACATTCAGGGCTGTGGAGCATGCTTAAGTAGGAGAGAGAGTGAGAAAAAAGAAAGCCATTCTCTAGTCCTAATGTACCTTGTTATTACTGAGTGTTTCATTCACTAAACTACCACCTTAGTTAGGCTCTTTGTTTTCTTCCCTTTAGTATGTTTCTCAGCCTTTGCATTCTGGACTGAACTCTACATTCATTGTTTTGCTCCTTAATTGTTGAGAAATGGTTAGTGGCGCAATGGAAAATAATTTTTGAGGCTACTAGCCTTCCAAACCCTGGTTATTCTCTTTCATCTGTGGGGTTTAAAGTAATATTATACATTTTGCCCTTTTGTAATGTGAGGCAACCATTAAAGGAATGATAGGTAGGCAGCCATATCTAGAAAAAGCTGGAAACGAACTGAGGCTAGAACGTTTCTAAGCGATAACACATGTATCTTCAAATGTATATTTTCTGTATATTCTTGTTTTGTTGAACTGACTCCACTTCAGTCAAAATAAAACAAAGCAAATAATCATATATACATATATTTTGTAACAGGAGGACAGTAGTTCATGGAGGCTCCCTTGTTCCACATCCCTATGGAATAAGCCTGTTTGAAGAGCAGTTGTTCTTTACTGATTGGACAAAGATGGCTGTAATGAAGGCAAATAAGTTCAAAGAAACTAATCCACAAGTATACTACAAGTCCTCCCTGAGGCCTTATGGAGTGACTGTTTACCATTCCCTCAGACAGCCCAAAGGTAAGCCTGTGGATCCATAGAGACAGGGCTTGGAACTAGACTGGGTAGAAAAGTTCCCTTCATTTCAAAACAGAGAGGGATCCTATGAGATTTAGGTGCTATTCTCAAATATATGAAAGGCTGACATAGAGAGTATCCTAGGTAAGTATCCTGGAGAAATTGTTGTGATGTATTTCAGATCGTAATTCATTGATCAAATACTTATTGGTATCTGTAAATGCAACAAGAAAACAATTTATCTACATGTTTGGACTCTTCTTTTGCTTATGAATCAAAAAAGGAGTCAACTGTGCTTGGTGGCTCCATATGATAAGCACTGGACTGCAAACCACAATGTTTGTGGTTCAAACCTGCCAACCATTTTGAGAGAGAAAGATGAGGCTTTCTGCTTCCTCAAAGATTTGGAAACCTAATACATGGTCGCTATGAATTGGAACCAACTCAATGACTTTTAATAACAATGTTGATAGAAAGTTTGTCATTGGTAAATGGTCATTTAGATTTAAAATTCTCATGCGAAGAGATGGGTCTGTTTAAGATGGATACAGATTATAAAATAATTAGGTTAATATTTAGTTATTGGATGAAACTTGGCATACTTACAAACTAAGCATTCACTGAGTGTTAGCTATTTATGCATGGTAGAAATAGCATTAAAATTTTCTTTGGTAATTACTTCTGATTAATGAGGTTAGAAGACAGAGCCTTAACATAATTACTGAGGAGAAAAGAACCACCAAAATCATTCAGTTGTGTGTTTTGCCACCACTAATTTGAGAGCATTGAAATTGGGAAGGCCAGTGCACCAGGTGTGGGTGTATACAGTAGAAATAGGTAGTGATGTCTCCACCAAAGTGTCAAATCCATTGCTACTCTAAGTGTCGTAATTATGTATTTCTAATTGAAATTTAACGCCATGCATTTTTTACTCCAGCTGAAAATCCTTGTGGAAATAATAATGGAGGTTGTGAACAAGTCTGTGTCATCAGTCACGTATCAGATAATGATGGTTTGGGTTACCGCTGCAAGTGCACCCTCGGCTTCGACCTGGCTGCAGACCACCGGCACTGTGTTGGTGAGAAATTGGGTTTGGACTTTCTTTCTGTCAGGCAGCACATAGATATCTGTGTGCATGCTCCCACCCATACAACTGTTGCCCTTGGACTGGACCTGAGTACTGGAGTGGCTCAATTCCTCATCTAGTTTTTCGCCTATCAGTCCTACCATTCTCTTAGATCTGTCTCTAATCTGCTTGTTTCTTTCTTCCTTTGCATGCTTCCATTCTTCCCTTTTGGATGCCTATGTATATAGTTAGGCTACTGCCTCAGTTTTAGCTGATGCTGTAATGTTTTCCTACCATATTTCTCTTTATTTTCACTTTTACAATGCTCCTTTTTAAGCCGCTGCCAAAGGCTGTCTCCCCACCCCCGATGCTGTTGCTTTGGTCTTATTCTTTCTCAAATTTGTTAACTTGGTAGGTAATTCCAAATTCAGATTAAAAGCCACTTATTACATGTGTTTTAGAACTATTATATCAACATTACATTGTTTTAAAATCCATCATTCAATCTTAATTTTTGTTCTGGATATCCCTCCATCTCTTTCTCATTTCATTTCTGTACATACTGTCTGTCACTCTCTCCTTCTCTTCCCTCCTTTTGTTCTTTATAAATCATTCACCTGGTGGTTGTTTGGTAATTGTTTTCTTAGTCTTCTTTGTGTAGGTTGTTATATAAAAAAAATCAATACAGACTTTGGAATTTTTATGTACTTATTATGGATTTCATTTGATATGATGTTAGAAATTAAGCATATGGACAGGATCTTTTATATAAATCTTAAGGGTAAATTTTCTTTGTTGCTGCTTTATCATTTTTTTCCCCTTCCCCTCTCCCCTTCTCACTGTTTTCAACTAAGTTTCCTTTATCATGTGTGCTTTGTGGATATGTAGGTGATTTTTCTGGAATTTGGGGTGGGCAAAGATCCATGTCTATGGTTGACTGTGATGTGTCCCTCTATCCACAGCTGTTACGAAGTTCCTGCTCTTTTCATCCCAAGTGGCCATTCGTGGGATTCCGCCCAATCTTACGTCCCAGCAAGATGTCATGATTCCAGTGACAGCAAGTCATTCCTCCTTTGTTGCTGTTGATTTTTGGGCCCAGGAGAAAGCTATCTTTTTTTCAGACACAGAACAAAATACCATTTGTAAACAAAATCTTGATGGCACTGGTAAGGCATGTTTTGCTTGTGGGTTTTCAATAATGATATAAATAATTTTGCTCAGTCAAATTTTACAGCCATTTCTTAAGCACAGGGTCTTTTGTTCAGCTTGCAAAGAAATTAATTGATTTTCTTATGAATTAAGTTAAAGCAAATACCTTTCCTTTATTTTTCAGAGCAACTTATAGATGAAGGTATATTTTAACAATAATAAAAGTTAAGATAATATAAAGGTAGTTTATAAAAGTCAAATCTCAAGCTGTGACTAGGTTAGCTGACTGGGGGCTAGTCTCCATATTCCTGTAGCCTGAATGATCCAATGAAAATATCTTTGTTAATTGCTGTGTTGGAATGATAATTTTTAAAGAAAACATGGAATATTTATTTCTTATGTTTGTTACAAATCCCATTGTCATCACAGAAAGATAAATTATTGTCAGCCGTACTATATTGTGGTATACTTTATTGGCTGATGCCATGCTGCTATAAGCAAATATCATACGTGGGTGGGCTTTTGAAACAAATTTCTCTGGGTTCTGGAGGTTACAAATCTGAATCAAGATGCTAGTTCTAGGGTAAAACTCACTCTGTTGTCTGCTCTGGGGGAAGGTCCTGTCCCTTCTCAGCTTCTCTTTCTAGGTTCCTCATTTCAGGTGGCATGTTTGTGCTTGCTTAATCTGCTCTTTTATATCATAAAAGATACTGATTTAAGGCACACCCTATACTAATAATACTGATAGGATTTACAACACTTACTGTGTGTGACGCTGTAAAATGAACACTGGCCTGCTAACTACAAGCTATCAGTGGTTCAAAGCCATTAGCACCTCCTTGAAAACCCTACACAGGGTCACTATGAGTCAGAATCATTAGTAGCGTCCTAAGAAGGAGGAGTTGTGTCGTTGATTCTGTTCTTGGTAAAACTGGAATTCTCATCATATCTTTATCAATTTCAAGTCCACTTGCTGAGCAGAATACCTTTAAAAATATAAAGCCTATGGTTAAGCCCTTGCACTGGAGAGATTGCATTCTGTTTTTCTGAGCATGTGTGCAGAACATGAGTTGTGATGATTAGCTGATTGAAGACCTCAGATAACGTGCTCATCAGTCGTCCCTTTTCTTCTCTAAGTGACCTTTTTTCCACTGGCTTTTCCTTATCATATTTATATATGTTAAAGTCTCTCCTTTCCTAAAACAATGCAACCCACTTTACCCATTTCCCTTCTAGTTCTTTCTCTTTATCATTTTAGGGACAGACTTCTTAAAAGAGGAAAAGTGACCTTTTATCTGGTACCAGTTCTGATTTCCTTTCTGGTCTCTTTGCTGTTTTTTCTCAAATTTGGCTGTGGCTGTGAGAGACTGTTGGTGAGAGGGTTGGGCAGTATTACCTCAGAGTTACCCCCTAGTCGTACCTGGTGGTGCCAGCTCACCAGAGTTGTCTGTGGGTGGTGTTTGTGAGGAGGTGAATGCAGGTATCTCTTTTTCACATATTCTGGGAGGGAGTAAAGCCAGGCCACAGCCCACCTGGCTCTGTTTATCAGCATCGTATCCATTTTTTGAGATCCAAACTCTTAATCAGATTCCGGGTTTACCTCATGTTTCATGTTGTTTGCTCAATATTCTTTTTTTTTCCCTTAAGAATTCCATATATGTTACTGATATAAAATTTAAATGTGAAGTAGTATAATACATGTCTTATATGTTTCATTTAAACCGTGTCCATGTTTTAACTTAACAGGAAGAGAAATTCTCACAGCTAACAGGGTGGAAAATGTTGAAGGTTTGACTTTTGACTGGATTTCCAAGAATCTCTATTGGACAGAAGCTTCCTACAGGTCTATCAGTGTCCTAAGGTTAGCTGATAAATCAAGACGAGAAATAGTCAAGAATTTAAATAACCCACGAGCAATCGTTGTTCATCCTATCATGGGGTAAGTGTGATCACGTTTTCATAAGCATTTGGAAAGACTGTATGCTTTTACAATCATTGAAATGTGATGCCACAGGGATTTGGCAAGTTCAGCAAATAGAAGATTGAATTGTATAAATTGAAGTCACTTTCAATGCTATTCCTCTAGCATAAACTAATCACTTTATCTGCTTCTAAGTTTCAGCTTTCTCAGTCCTGTGTGGTTTTTCTACAAATTGCAGAGGACTGAGCAATGTGATACAGATTCAGTAGGAAAGGAAAGATTATGCACAGAATTATCAGGAAAGGCTCAAATTCTTTCTCTCCTTTAATGTATTGGTATAAAGCCTAGCAAAACTTGCTTAATCGCTTGGTAGTTTTCAGATTAAAAAGTCTTTCAGACTACAGAGTTTCATGTTTCACTATTCAATAATTGGTAGCATGAAACAAGTAAAAACAGAGCAGTTTACAGTATTCATTTTTGGTGCTTATTTAAATTTGGTGACCAATGTATTGGTTTAGAACAAATCTGAATTGAGCAGCATGTAGTGAGCATTCTATATATATTATCTCATCTAACCCAGAAGCTAGTTTATGTATAATACTCATTAAGAGAGTCTGAGGCTCAGAGAAAATAGATTGGCTAAGGACCAAGCGATAGGGAGTATCCAAATTTAGGCCTGACCGTAAAACCGGTGTCTCTTTGTGTAAAATGATATGCCAAAAAGCAAAACAACCATTTGTCACTATACCACTTTCTGATTGCATTGGTTCCAACTCAGGGGGCTTTTAAAAGTTCATGGAAAAATGGCATTGAAAGATGATGGACTTTTCCACAGACTCATACGCCCCATATATTTTACAAATGGTGGCTACCTTTTCTGATGTCGATTGTCAGGCCTATCTTTTGAGAAACCTCTCCACTGAGAGACATCAAAATTATGGAAGAAATAATTGGCATTTGGTTTTTGAACATAGTTGAATTCCTTTACTAATCATACCTTCATTTAAAATGACTAATTTTGAATTCTAAGTCTCTTTTGAAAGAGTAAAAGGCTCTTTTCCCTACATTTATCTATTTGCCACTCTTTGTTGTTGTTAAGTGCTGTCGAAGTCAGTTCTGACTCATAGTGACGATGTATAGGAGTTCCCTTTTAATAATAATAATAATGATAATAAAGAGGCCTCAAGTAAGATTTTATATTGATTTGGATGTATAAGCCTTGCACAAGGGGACTTCAAAAAGTTTATGGAGAAATGGAATTAAAGATCATGGAATTTCTTTGAACTCCCATGAATTTTTTGCACCCCTTCAGGAATGAATATTTTTTCCTGGTCATTTATAAATTTCATATGGAAGATGGTTAGACAGAGATCTTGGTTGTATCATTCACAAATATTGAAATGTGTTTTGTTACATAGGCTTCTTTTAACGATAATAAGTATGTGACATGTAACGTCATGTTAATGGCTTTAGGTCCTAAAATCTCTGCTGTAGATGCCAGAATCGCCTGGGCAATTAAAAAAAACCCCACTAGAGTGAATGGAACCATAATATTTCCCCCATTTGAGTGAAATTTTAAAATAACCATGTGTTATCTTTGCATGTTTTTTTTTTTTTTTTACTCGTTAAACTTTTTCCCCTCATCATCAGTTAACGATTACAACATTAATGAACTGAGGCAGGAATACTAGTTCTTTTTATTTATTTATTTTTAACCACAGTAGTCCAACTTTTGTTCCCTAAACAAATTTCGGAATAAAAAAATTAGTGTATGCCACATTTGGTCACATGTTGATAGTGGAACTTGAAATTAAGAAGTAAACTAATAGCCCACAAAGCATAATACCGTATAGAGATCAATTGAATTCATTGCAGCAAGACTCTGGAGAATCTGTGTTTGTGTTAAATATGTCTAAGTCATGTGGCTTGTCCCAGTAATGTTCTTGATCTGTTGCCTAATTTTCTAGATATATATTCTGGACTGATTGGTTCCGCCCTGCTAAAATTATGAGAGCGTGGAGTGATGGATCTCATGCCTCACCTATAGTGAACACTACTCTTGGATGGCCCAATGGATTGGCCATAGATTGGAGGTAAGTAGAAATCATCCACATTACTGAGTTCCCTTTTACTATGGAACACATCTGAGGCATGCAGGGGTAGTATGAGGGAGTGAGAAAACTAGTACTTCCTTGCCTGTTCTTTTTAAAGGAGGTGACTGAAGGACACAAACAGTTGGCCAGTTACTTCTGGGAATAAGTCTAATGCATTCATGAATATTCTTAGGACACTGCTAAGGGAACCAGAATTAATAGGCACTAGTAGAGAGGTTGTTGTTGTTGCTAAGCACCGTGGAGTCGATTCCAACTCATAGTGACCCTGTACAGGATTTCTGAGGCTGCAGATCTTTATGGGACCAGAAACCCTCATTTTTCTCCCGTAGAACATCTGGTAGTTTCGAACTGCTGACATTGAGGTTAGCAGCCCGATTCGTAACCACTATGCTACCAGAGCTCCATGGAAGGTCAGTATGGAGGAGGTAAATCCCAAACCGTATTAGGAGGGATTTGCTGATTATATATGATTTCTTACAGGGTAAATCTTGAGGATAGGAAACTTTAGAATCAATCTTACATGCATCTGGGTGGGAAGATTTTTAAAGTACAAGATAGTTATAAACATTAAATGATGAAGTCGTTTTTGGAGATTGAAAGGGAAGAAATGCACAGTGATCCCAATGTGATATAGTTGTTGTTGCTAAGTGCCATCGAGTTGGTTCTGATCATAGTGACCCTGCATAGGGTTTCTGCGGAGCAGCTGGTGAGTGTGATCCACTGACCTTGCAGTTCAGACCAATCTTGCGGTCCAGTGCTTATCCTACAGCGCCACCCCAGGACGCCTGTGACAAAATAGAACTGCTCTATAGGGTTTTCTAGGAGTTCAGGTAGCATAGTGGTTACCAATCGGGCTGCTAACCTCAAGGTTGGCAGTTTGAAACTACCAGCTGTTCTGCAGGAGAAAGATGAGGCTTTCTGCTCTCATAAGGATTTACAGCCTCGGAAACCCTGTGCAGGGTCACTATGAGTCGGAACCTACTCCACAGTACTTAACAACAAAATCTTATGGGAGCAGATTGTTGAGGATTCCTGGATAGGTTCGAACTGGTAGGTAGCCTTTCAGTTAGCAGCTGGATGTTTAATCTTTGCTTCACTTGGGGTTCTTAAACATAGATTATTACCAGCATATTTTTTAACTTAATGATTTCAGGAGGAATAATGAAACTTTAAATTTCTTAAGACAATTGACTGAAACTCACTTTAAGGAAGTAGTTATGTTTCTGGGAAGTGTAAAAGTGTTAATAAACGTGTCAACTAAACATACTGTTTTTGAATGCCTTGTTAGTTTTTGGACAACATCTAACTAAGTATTTTGTTATTTTAGTGCTTTACGATTGTACTGGGTAGATGCCTTTTTTGATAAAATTGAGCACAGCAACTTTGATGGTTTAGACAGAAGATCTTTGGGCCACATAGAGCAGATGACTCATCCATTTGGACTTACTGTCTTTGGAGGTAAGTGTTGAAGCAATAAAACTCATCTTCTCACAACTCCAGAAAAGCTGGTCATTTCAGTAAATAAAAATTACACTGATGATATTAAATAGGCTATATAGAACATGTTTAGATTATCTGTTGCTTTATCTAGGGGATATTTCCCTTTGGGTGTTTTGTTTTGAATACATTTAGATAATGACAGCAACAACTTATATGGGTATAGTACTTTGTAGGTTCAACATCCCATGTGCTCTATAAATATCTCATGAGGAAACAGGGGCTCAAATAAATCCCCCACTTCATCGTTCTCAAGAACAAAATAGATCTTCTTGGGAAGCATAGATGTCTGGGAAACTACAGCAACAATTGTGTAGGCATGCTGTTGTTAGTTGTCAAGATAAGACTGCCCTGTCACCATGAAGTATATGGTTTGATTGTTGTTGTTAAGTGCAGTTTGGTCAGTTCTGACCTATAGTGACCCTGCATAGGGTTTCCAAGGAGCGTCTGGTGAGCTTGAACTGCTGACCTTGCAGTTCAAACGACTTTTCAGTCCAGCGCGTTAATCCACAGCACTGCACTAAAAGCTCCAGACTGAAGGGGTTAAAAGAAACCTACCCACTGTCATCAAATTGAAGGACTAGTTAATGAGAATTGCTCATAGTACACTCTGCTCTACACTCTCTGTGGAGGAGCACACAGTACTGAAACATATTTTAAAGTGCTTGTGAGATTCTTGATGATATAAATGCTCACGTCCTCCCTGTGGCCCCCAAGCATTCACTCCCTTTTCATGAGTCGTGTCAGACACATGCTATTTGGTGTTACACAGGACCATTATAAGAATGCTAAATTTTTTCTGCTCAATGCTGGAATGTTTGGGATTGAATAAAAATGCAATTTGAGTATCTTTTGGTTTCATCAGTATGAAAGCATAACATTTTCAAAATAATAGTAATAGCTAGTTTCATTGCTTTTCATTGTGAATTTATTATAGAAAGTTCTGTTACTGCTCAATGACATAGAAAGTCTGCATCTTTTCACTGCAATAGTTTTTGAACCTACCAATTTGCACATACTGGGGGAGCACTGGTGGCACTGTAGAATAAGCACTGGACTACTACCACAAGGTCAGCAGTTCAAGCCCACCAGTTGCTATGCAAGAGAAAGATAAGGCTTTCTGGTTGTCTTGGTACACAAGCTGTATAGTTGTTGTTGTTGTTATGTACTGTGGAATCAGTTCTGACTCATAGTGACCCTGTTACAGGGTTTCTGAGGCAATAAATCTTTATGGGAACAGAAAGCCTAATCTTTCTCCCGCGGAACAGCTGGTAATTCCAAACTGCGAACCTTGCAGTTCATAGCCCGATTTGTAACCACTGCGCTACCAGAGCTCCTTAGTAAATGCAAGGATGAATTAGGCATAGAGATGGAGAAATGGTTGCTACTGGAGTCATACATCATGAGCTCATGCACCATGGGTTAACTCTAAACAAAATGTAGTTAAGCATGTCTCTGTGATCAGTGGATGGCTTCAGACCAGTTCTCTCTCAGTAATAACACATTTGCCTTAGTCTTATTAGAATACTGGTTCCTAGGAGATTTGCTAGACCAGATAAATTCAAGGAGGAGAGGTCAGCTAAGAAGGTTATGGATTCCAAAGGAGGAGCGCTACTGGTGTAGTGTGTGACGTGTTGGGCTGAGCAGGAGAAAGATGAGGCTGAGATTTACAGCCTCAGAAATCCTATTTGTTTTTGTTGTTAGTGCTGCTCAGTCAGTTCTGACTTATAGCAACAACCCAGAGCAGCTGGGCTGGTGTGTTTGAACCACTAAGCTTGCATTGAACAATCAATCTAGTGTTTATCCTACAGTACCATACCAAAAGTACTCAGTTGGACTAGACTCAACAACATACAGCCACCAGCACCAAATACAGAGGAAAAAATTGTGATAAGTTTTCATTACGGATAAACCTGAAGGACATGAAGTGTTAAGACAATTTAAACTGCATTAGTCAAAATAAGACCAGTGACATGGATTGGCACAGTGACAGAAGCAATGGGTTGAAGAGTAACAGCGATTGTAAGGATGGCGTAGGACTGGGCAGTGTTTCACAACGGGAAAAATCAGTCCTCCAGTGGCTTATTATTTGCCTGTGAACACCCAGCAGGTCCATGCTTCAGCATTATGTCTTATGATGTCCTATCTAATGCTCTGTAGAAGGATTTACAAACACAGGACTCCATACATACTTGCCTAAATCTGAAACCTGCTATATAGGTTTCCAGAGAGGCAAAGAAGATTCTCATGTTTTTATTAGCCTGTTTTATTTTCCCAAGGGATTTATATGTGACTAAAAATACCAGTGACTTCTCTTTCTTCTTAGAACATCTATTCTTTACTGACTGGAGACTAGGTGCAATTGTTCGAGTTAGGAAAACTGATGGCGGAGCTCTGACCTTCATCCGAAAGGGCATCAGTAACATAATGCATCTGAAGTCATATGATGCTGACACACAAACTGGTAAGCATGAATGTATTTATTTGATATAGTAGCTTCTTTTCCCTTTAAATAGTTATTATTTAATATAGCTCCTGATAGTTTTGTGTTCCTATCACTCAGAGTGTATAAAAGTATAAGACTCCATCCAGTTTTGCTAACCCTATAAGTGTTGCATCTTTCTGATATTCTGAAACAAAAATCCTCACCACTGGACCAATAAACAATATTCGTACCAACGGAGAAAAGATTGAAGTTGTCACGGACTTCATTCTTTTTGGATAAACTATCAACACTCATGGAAGCAGCAGTCAAGATCAGACGACATATTGTATTAGGAAAATCTGCTGCACAAGACCTTTTTAAAGTGTTGAAGAGCAAAGATGTCAACTTGGGGACTAAGTTGTGCCTTACCCAAGCCATGGTATTTTTAATAACCTCATATGCTTGCGAAAGTTGGACAGTGAATAAGGAAGATTGCAGAAGAATTGATGCTTTTGAGAAATGGTGTTGGAGGAGAATATTGAAAGTGCCATTGGCTGCCAAAAGAACCAACAGATCTATTTTGGAAGAAGTGCAGCCAGAGTGCTCCTTAGAGGCCAAGATGGCCAAACTTCGTCTCTCAT